AGATCCCAAGCTTTAGGGTTTGCATGTACACCATAGGATTGATGTTTTGCTCTTAACCCATCAGTGGTATCAGAGAATAGGCTATTTGTTTGATGTATTTGATGCTTTACATAATCGTTCAAGCTGAACATCGCGAAAATCTGCATTCTGGAGCCTGAACTCGCCGAGTTCATAGATGAACTAGCTGAGTTCAGTGGGAACTCGACGAGTCAGTAGGTCTGATTTATGATTTTTCGGGATTTTAACATGTTTTGGCTATGGATAATTACCAAAAACGTTCTTTATTGATAAAATCCGATTTTTATTAATTTGGAGTGATTATCCTTACCAAAATTGAAGATAATTGTCAATTTAATTATATAATCATTGCCTTAAGTGATAAACTTGTTTTATTTGAATTATTTGATGAATTATCTTGCAAGTAATTGAATTAGGGGATTGATATTGCAATTATATGATTGTTGCAATTGGGCTATGGATTCCTAATGGAAAGGGGATTGGACGAAATCTATGGGAAGCCCATATGGATTTCATCCAAGGGCTTTCTAGAGGGACTTCATGAGTTGCTTAAGGCCTAAGAAGAGAATTAGGGTTTCACCTAAAACCCTACCAGCCCTTAAAAGTATATAAAGACCTCTAAGGCTCCCAAAAACATGGCTAACCTTCCAAGAGAACCCTAGGACGTTTTTGGGGCTTCTTCCCTCTTTCTTTGTTTATCTTGTTGCTCATGGTGTTTGTGATTCCATTAGAGGTGCAACATTTGAGGCACTAAGATTTCAAGAGTCAAGATCAAGGAGATTTGTGATTGTTATTACTACATAACAATCAAGGTAAGATCTAAACCCTTTTATTATAATAATATCGAATATTGTATGCTAGATCTAGGATTTATGATCTTTGGATGATTATTGCATGTTCATTAGACAAACTGGATCCAAAGCTTTAGGGTTTGCATGTACACCATAGAATTGATGTTGTGCTCAAATCCCATCAGCTATATCAGAGCCTAGGCTGTTTGTTTGATGTATTTGATGCTTGTATGATCATCCTCTGCCTGAAAATCGAATTTTTTGCCCTTTGCCTGACTGACTCGGCGAGTCAGTGGATGAACTCGCCGAGTTAGCCTGACTCGGCGAGTCCAAGGGTCAGATAGAGGAAACTTCAGGATTTTTTTTGCTGATTTGGCTTAGGAAAGTTACCAAAAACATTTTTAACACTTAAAATTCGATTTTTTTATGTTTGGTATTGATTATCCTAATCCAAATAGTAGATAATTGTCAAATTAATTAGATAATCATTGCCTTATATGATAAAATTTGATTATTTTAATTATTTGATTGATTATCTTGCCAGAAATTGAATTAGGTCATATTTAGATAATCACAAATTATTTGATTAATTGAATTATTTGTAATTTCATCTAGATAGTTTTGAAAAGTTTAAAAAACTTTTCCTCAAGTTTTGGAATTAAATTTTTTTGATTAAAAGTTAATTTTGAAATACTCAAATTCTAAATCCTAATGTTTTGAAAAGTTTCAAAACTTGTCCTCAAGTTTTGGAATTAAATTTTTTTGATTAAAAGTTTAATTTTGAAATTTTTTAAATTCTAAAACCCTAGTTGTTTGAAAAAGTTCAAATTACACCCTTATGGTTTTGTTAAGTTAATTAATGTATAATTAAAAGAGAGTTAATAATTCCATAATGATATGGTGTATATTTAATTAAATTAAAAGTATAATTTTATTAAATTAGACCAACTAGTATTTTAAAAGTGTAAAATACACCCTTATACTATATATAGAATTAAAAGTATAATATTATATATGTATGAGTAAAAGGTCAGTCTTACTGTTAGTAAGTCTCATTCACGAAGCTGGTTTATAAGGGGTGTTCAAGGGGATTGTCTATAAATTGGTGATTGAATGGGTATCCACTCTTACTCACCACACTCTTGACTAGTGGATGGTCGTTAGCCGAACGGGTAGGATAGGACACAACCTTCCCTTATAAGTATAATGAAATACGAAGTAACTAAACACTTTTATAAATTCCCAAATCTTAGTTACTTTAGAAAAAATATGGAATTCGTGCTAATCCATGAAATTGCACATTGCACCTTATTGGTCGATTAGTGGAGCGTGTGTGGTTAACCGACACACTAATATGGGACCAATGAAGGATGACAATGAGTAGCTTGAAGTTTCTCATAAATCAATGGAGCGTGTGTGGTTAACCGACACATTGATATTAGAAATAACATGTAAATGTTTCGGAGTGATAAGGATGATTTAAATATCTATCGTGAATGAGGATCTAAATTCACCTTATTCGGTGTTTAGATCAAAATGGCAAGCACACAAAGCAGACTGGAAAATGATCACTCGTAGCCTGAGTCACAAGGGATTGGGAGTGCACCAGAAATAATAGCTGCACCCGAGCCAATCATGATGGCAGGAGTATACACAATGGTACAGATGATGTTGGATCAACAGATGAAAGAAACAAGGTGTTTACTTCAACAAAGTAAGGATGAACTTGTTGTGCCAGTACGCTAGGCACCTATTCTTGAGGCAACTATCTGGGTTGCTAAGTCAGTTGAAGAAATGATCGACGACAGGACCACCAACAAGGTTGAACTTGGAAAAAAGAGGAAATTTGAAGTGTCTTTGAGGTCCAAAAAAAGTAACATGTTCTCGAAGTCTAGCAAAAAGGGAGGTAAAAAATGGTGCGGGAAATGAAAAAAGGAAAACCCTGGAAATTGTGGCGAGGAGGTGACATGTTTTAAGTGTGGAAAGCATGGGCATTACACCAACGAATGTACATTCATCGAAAGGGTATGTTATGAATGTAATGAGGTAGGGCACTTCAAGCAGGATTGCCCAAAGAGGGAAGAAGCTAAAAAGCCAAAGGTACCGCTGAAGCATTATGAGAGATGCGACGAAGAGGTGACTTGCTACAAATGTGGAAGGAAAGGCCATTATGCCAACAAGTGCACATCCGCCAAGAAGGTATGTTACAGATGTAATGAAGAAGGGAACTTTTCTAGAGATTGCCCAAAGAAGAATGAACCAGCAAAGCCAAAGGCATTCTACATGATCCTCGATGAAGCAGAAATCAAACGCGAGGATTAAAGGATGAAGACTTCATATATATATATATATATATATATATATATATATATATATATATATATATATATATATATGTATAAAGTATGTATCAGGAAGTGTAGCCTACTAGAGGCGTAGTATAGGGTGAACTTGAACCTTTGTGTAATCCTTTCAAGAAATAATATAGACCCTAGTTTTGCTAACTGATGTGTTGAATTATTGTGTGATTTTGTTGTATGGTGACTTAGTCGACTACGGGACAATACTTGGGAAGAGTATGAGTAGGTGTGAAAGGTAGTAGATGCATATACTACTGGAAGCACAAGACTCACACTTGGATCAGGGAAAGTCACAAAGGTTACCAAGAAGCTAGTGATTGATCTCGTTTTATTCGAGTATGTCATTACCCTTGTTTCGGTAATGACTAGTGAGATGGTTGTTATTCTGACCCTAGTGTTCATGTCTAATTGGAGTCCGAGTATGGTGAGTATGTTATGGGGCTCAGAGAACCAAGTTCGATGTAACATCTGACATAAGTCAGAAGATTGAAGTCAATGTGATCATTGGTATCACGCTCGTTGTTAAAAGAAGTTTGTAGATAGAAATGCTACATGCTGAAACGTGATTATATCACATTAGAATATGAAGGAAGGTATATTCCATTCTGGAATTTGACTCTAAGAGACTTGAGTCTAAGCGTTGCATCATACGATGAGAGGTCATTAGAACATGACCCATCGGTTTGTTACAATAGATAAAGTAAAGTACTTATCCTAAGAAGAAGAAGGAGTCATCAATAAGGACTTATTTGATAACTCGAAGGTTATGATTGAAAGTCCAACATAGTACGAAAAGCAGATACATGATTGAGCATCGTCTGCAGTCGAGAAGCCCTAGAGTTAGATACTCTTTCGAGGAAACATAGAAGTTATGGTTATTACCTAGGATGAATAGATAACATATGGAATCATTATACAAGCCCTATTTCGTTGATGATTCCGGGGCATAATCATCCTAAGGGGGAGATAATTGTAATGCCCGTAGATCCGGGCTAGTCAATTTAGAGACGATAAGCGTAAAAAATGACTTTTTGATGGAAGATTGTTTAGACGGAGTAATCTTAACTACGTTGTAGTATATGTTACAAGGATTCCGAGTTATAACGAAGAAGTTATGACCCGTCGAAGTTTCGCGATAGAACCGGCACGATGCTGAATGACGTAAAAAGTGAATTTATGTTAGAGCAATATTTAGCCTTAGCGATCTAAACAAAAGTCTTAGAATACATTAAACCGAAAGCGTGCATAAAAAGAACGCCCAAATCTGACTTCGTATGAGGAAGTTATGATTTTTCCGAAGTTTCGACTTAGCAGTATGCAACCCGAATCCTCGATTTGAGATTTAGTGATTTTTAGCCGAAACAATCTAAATGAGAATCGAAGATCTCATCTATAGTAGTGAAACGATAAAAAGATAGGCGGAAACGGACGTCTGACGAAGAAGTTATGATTTTATAACGGAGTTTTCTTTGTATCACAAGTGGTTTGAAAACCCTATATGCTCACCAGGCTCCCAAGCCTAACCCACTCAGTTTTCTTTGTATCACAGGTATCAATACGAAGACATATTTCACTGAGAGATTAGAGGAGATGTAAATCACTAGTGTAAATAAATGTATGTTCTGTTTATGCTTATGTGTCTGTATCGGAACATGACATCCCAAGATTTTGTTATATAATGAAAATACATTTCTTTAAAGAAATGCTTTGATAAATTCTTATCATATTTTACTTTAGGAACAAATTCCGCAACTCTTTTAATCAAAGGATTACTATGATTTTATAAAAAAAATCATAAACAAATCGGTCTTTTCTGGCCGTGAAATTGGGGATGTCACAGAAGATCCTTGAGGATCCTCCGTTGGAAAAAGAAAACCCTAAGGGTCTGTCTGCTACGAATGTGTTCCAACAAAAGATCTTTGGGTTCAGACTTGGTTGCTTTATGGCATCAACCACCGAATCCTCAGTAGTTATTCCTATTACTATTCCCCTCGATACCACAACTGGAAATGAAGAGCCTGTGGAAACAAAATCTTTAGATACGGAAGTGAGTATCCTGAATCCTCCCCCTTCAACAGGTCATATGTTCCCTTTCTCCCTTTGTCGATGTTTTCTTTTTTTGTGTGTTTTAGATCTTTGTTGTGATTTACTTGCTTATTGATTGTGCAACTATTTTTGTTATAGGAAAGGGGGCCAAGATGCAATAACTGGTTACCCTTGTTGCTTCACTTCCCTAGTTCCAACATCCTTTTGCTGCGACTAGTGTTCCCAAGAGCCCTTTTAAGATGGGGTTGCGTCTAATGAAGAATAGTTAGATAAGGCTCGATCATGTTTGATGGAGGGAATGCACCCGTTGAACGAAGTGTCTGTACACATAAAGGCGCACACATAGTAGCTTTCTTAGCGCCAAGTCGTGTTTGAGGAAGCCTTGGAAGGGGTTGAAGCGACTTCGAGCCCTTCATGAGCAAATGGAAGAAAAAGCTAAAGGGTTGAAAGAAGAGGTATTCGGTTTTTTAGGGAGAAACCAAAATTTGGTGAGAGATTTGAGTCACACCATCGGTCAGCAGGGGGAGTTGAAAATTTTGAATCAAGATCTGCAACTAAAATTGGATGATGTTGTGAACCGCTACATATATACCATCAAAGAACTCGTAGGTATCTCTCAGCAGTACCATTCACTGAAGTTGTAATATACTGAGAATGATTCTCAGTTAGAAATCGCCTACTTTAGCAAACATGCAAGTATTAAATTGCTAGAAGAGGATTTATCCATGGAGAAACTCCTAATGTTGGAGAAAGATGCCCGAATTTCCACCTTGAACGACTCATAACTTTTGATGGAGCAGGATATAACAAGTTGCCAGACAGGAGAAAATCAAAAAGCCAAGGAGTTGCGGTGGGTCATAATGGAAGGAGTCCCCACCTTTTTTCAGACTTTGTTGGATTCAAGCGACTTTGGGGCCGTGAATGCCGCCTTGCAGACATCCGCTATCTAGATTGGCCTCCATCAAGACTGTATGGATATGAAAGAAAAGTACCCTGAGGAGCTGAAAGGTAAAAATGTTCTGTACTCGTACCCCGATGCACAATGTCAAATTATGGAACGTTTTGCTGAAATGACAACATACAAGTACTCGTTAGTGTCGTCTCTGGAGAGTGAAGAGATGGATATTGGTGGTTTGAATAAAAATTTTAAGGTTGTGGATTCGTCTGGGGAAGATGAAGTTGGATCAAGCTAGGTGTTGGGAATTGTGTTTATTTTCCTTATGATTTGAAGTTTTGAACTTGTAAGCGTAACTTTTATTTTGCCAATGATGTGGGTAGTTTTTTGTTATCTTGTAATGACACTTTGCTAAATGACAATGTGATCATCCTCTATTTGCTCAAATCTTTTTTCTTCTTACTTGTGTAATTATAAGAGTTATTTGTGATTTCGATTATTCTTCTATTGGTAATGGTTGGAGTCTAATTTCGTATTGACTTAAAGCATTCTCCAGATCTTGAAATGCTCCATCCGTTAACCCAGATGCTATGCTTAGTATATTGCTCGAACCATCGAGTTTGAACTTAAGGTTCGAGTAATTGGAATATCGACAAATAGTTGAAGTGTTATGGCAATGTTTGTAAGTTGTTTGAACAGTTAGGTCTAAACATAAGGTTCGAGTAATAAGAACATTAAGCCATAATTTGGAGGATTATGGAAATGTTTGTAAGTTGCTCGAACCAGTAGGTTTGAACTTATGGTTTGAGTAATAAGAACATCGATCCTTAATTTGGAGGATTATTGTAATGTTTGTAAGTTGCTCGAACCATTAGGTTTGAACCTAAGGTTCGAGTAATAAGACATGACTTTCCCCATTAAGCACCTAATCCAAAAAGTCCATAGCTTATTTACTCCAGAACAGATTCTAATACCAAATCAAACATAAAAGTTGGTGCTTTATAGACATGCATATCAACTGCATGTATTGAAGCCATAATGAGGGTTTATCCATGGAAATATCATGCCTGGTTCAAAACCCCACAAGAATCCAGATCCAACCCAACAATTATGTCCAAAGTCCCAGAGATTCATAAAGTTGCAAACTTTATGAGATCCTAACACTCTAACCACATGAACATGAGCATTTTGGGACAAAACATAATATCCATAAACCTAACATGATAAAAATCGAGTCTTGGACACTTACAAAGGTCCAAAAGATTGCCAACACCAAGGATAAGGACTAGCTTCCTGAATCTTAGCTCACTTCTTTTTCTTTCTTCCTTCCAAAGCTTTAAAGAACACCAAAAAGGCTCATAATAAGAAAGGGAGGGATTTAGGGTTTCTCAGGTCTCAAAGAGGTGGATGGAGATGAGGGTGAGCAAACCCTAGCCTCATCATTCCTTTAAATAAGGAGAAAAGCCCGGAAAATAGAGTTTCTTACTTGCCAGCTGCCACACTGTGGCGGCTTAAATTAAATATGCGATCTGATCTTGACTCCCTACATCGTGTCATCTCCCCACCTGCAAAAGATAAAACACCTCGGGATCCATGTGTTATAACTAGCCCAAATACCCAAGTGTTACAGAAATTTAATAGTAAAAGGTCTCAAAACCGGTCGCCACACCGTGACCAAGCTTCTGCCACGTCGTGGTGACCTCAGGACAAAACAGTCGCAAGACTGCCTATCGCCAGGTCGTGGAGTCCAATCCTCCACGTTGTAGGAACTGTTCTAGCTAGCTCAATGCATTAAGCTCTTAATTATTAAGGCCACCCATCCATACTTTCTAGAAGGCTTTCATATCTCTAATGTATTATAAAAATCGTTGCTTTATGGACATGCATGTTCAATGCATGTCACTTCAAATCTAGCTCAAAAACATGGAAGAAATGAACTCAAACTTGTGCATGAGACCAATAACACTGTAGAACTCTAGATCTGGAACATATAACCCAAAAGGGACCTCAAGGATCCATAAAGTTACTAACTTTATGAAACCTATCCGTACAAACTTTCCAAATCATGGAGAAAAGGGACAACCCAAGATCTAGAAGCATAAAATATAAAGTTTGGAACTTGAACACTCACAATGGTCCAAAATATGAACTAGAAAATGATGACGAGACTTGCAAGCTAGATCTATGCGTGAAGGATGCTTCTTTCTCCTTTGAAACACCAAAAACACCACCAAAAGCTTCATGGACTCAACAATGGAGGTTATTGTTTCTTTGAGGGTGAAAGGTAGGTGATGTGGGTTGAGGGTGTGTAAAATTTAGCCATTATATCCCTTAAATAAGGGCATAAACATCGAAATGAGGGTTTTAACATAGAATGGTAGCCACGTCGTAGCCAAGATATTGCCATGCTGTGGCGCATACTTAAGCTACACGTCCCAACGGGCACTGCCATATCGTGGCCTCCATAAATTCCATAATTGAGTTTTTAAATTCCAGATTACCAAAAAAGTTAATACGTGGGACGTGGTGTTACACGAAGAACTCCTCTATGTTGTCAATGAAGGCAAAATATTTTCCCATAAAACAACTGATTCTCATTAATCAGAGATAAATAGGTTTACATAAAATAAAGGGACCGAGATATACACTTGACATCGTTTCTTTTAGAATGACTAAGACACACCCCTTCTAAATTCTACTCCTAAACTACACTTTTAAAGGAGAAACCGAGACGAAAAAACCCTAGTTAACTCGAAAATTACAACCCCCACACCTATTACGACACCAAACTACTTTACATTATAGTATACTAGCTTTGGTACACGGTTATGGGATATGTGTGTTACACAAGAAAGCAATAGAAAACAATAAAACAACACAAAGAATTTACTTGATTTAATCGATGTGACCTACATCTACGGGCAAGTACCAGATAACTCTTTTATTATCATATTGTTTCAAAGTGATTACATTGGAATCTATAACTATGAATATTCATAAGCACAAAACCCTAACAACTATAGGACCAAACCAATATACAAATAAATCCCCGACAATTAAACATGAACATACCACAACGACTCCCCCACACCCCCGTGGGATGAGTGTTTTTCATGTACGCCAGTTCTAAGTCTACTCCAAACACTTATATCGTGGATATATGTTGTCTCGGTTTTCTTTACTTCTTTTCGGATCATCAAATGCCAGGCAACACATAAACAATGTGTTATTAAAAACAATCAAACCTATATGTCAATTATAAATGTTGAAATTATTTTTGATTAAATTCTAAACGTTGAAATTAGTTTTGTTTCAACTCTCTTATGCATGTCTAGTGTCATAATGCTAATCAAAAGTTGTATCATCTTTATTATATTTTTTCGTTTCTTTTCTTAAGAGAAAAGAGATTTTAACACATTTTCCATTTCCTTTATTAAAGGTGTTTATAAATTTAAAATCTTGTACCTTGTACCTTTTTTTAGAAAAAACAACATAACGTTTATAGGAAAACAACTATGGTCGGGTATGGAGGATGAAAGGAGTTGGAAACCATTGTTGTCGATGGAGATGTCAAACCGTTCTTGAAGAAGATTATGAAAAAAAAAATGGAAATTAATATAGAGAACGGATATATCAAAACAATAATAATACATCATCAAATTCAAATATTTAAATAAATATATGTATGTTTATATGAATCACCTTTATTTTCCTTTTCTCATTTTTCATTTTTCTTATCTTGTAACGGCAAGAATAATCCACAAAACTTACGTGTAGTCCCAACACGTGTCACAACACCAGAGCAAGAACAATCAGGATAAAATCCAAGCCGTCGATATTTGGCTATATACATTCTTAGCATCTGAGGGTCCCTCTTTCAGAAAGGATAAGTGGGTCTGCTCTTATCTAGGGTTTGTTCCCATTTTCTTCATCCCCCTAATTCTGATTATAATCTCAAAATCTCATTTTACTACACTCTTTTGTGTTTTTGATTTCAATCCAAACCCACAACCCAGATCACCCCTGTTCTTAATTTCCCCAAATTTGATCTCGTAATCTGTTTAATTTCGTGTTGTTTCAGAGAGTTTTTCTTCGGATTCTTCATATATGGCGTCGATTGATAACAGGAGTGTTGTTGAATCAGAAGATGAAGAAGAAGACGGTGGCAACACCGCTAAAATTTTGTCAGCATCTGATCCATTACTTGGTGATCCGGCGGTGTATACTATTACGGCGGTGCCTCACCGTCATGGCTCGCCGCCTCCGATTGAGGTTAATCTGATGAAGGAAGAACCACCGGAGAACGATTTGGATGGTTCATTACCTGTAGCTATCGTCCCAATGCCAACATCTAATAAACAGATAACGGTGGCGACGCCGCGGAGGGCGAATAAGGATCGTCACACGAAGGTGGAAGGCCGTGGCCGGAGAATCCGCATGCCGGCGGCGTGTGCTGCTAGAATATTCCAGTTGACACGAGAACTAGGGCACAAGTCCGACGGCGAGACGATTCGGTGGTTGTTGGAGCACGCCGAGCCGGCTATCATTGAAGCCACCGGCACCGGGACGGTGCCGGCGATCGCTGTTAACGTTAATGGGACGTTGAAAATTCCGACTACACCAAGCAATGCAGCAAGCGATGGAGAAGGTGGTGGGAAAAGACGAAAAAGGGCTTGTAACAGCGAGTTTTACGACGTGAATGATTCAGCTTCTTCCAATTTTGCCCCTGTGGCCCCAATAGCCCCACAAAGTCTTGTCCCCGTTTGGACCATGGGCGCTGCACCACCCACCGCCGGTATCCATGGCGGAGCTTTTTTTATGTTTCCACAGAGCGGGGCCACGGCCATCGGACCTTCCTCCGCCACCCAAACCCAGTTCTGGGCCATCCCCGCCGGCGCAACACCCGTTTTCAATGTCGCTGCACGGCCCATTTCCAGTTATGTCTCCGCCATTCAACCCGGTGAGCATTCCGGCGGCGGCGAAATTCAAACACCATCAAGATCGGTTTCATACAACAGCAGAAGTGAGAATAAATCAGGAAAAGTTTCCACAACCATGGCACCAAGTTCAAGTTCAGTGTCAACGACGACGACAACAGCTCA